AGTTAGAACGCTTTTTTGTGAATATTATAGTTCTCATAACAAATCATTTAATGTGTGTCAATTCTAGAATAGACTATTTGTTTTTGTTGGATTAAAAAACCAATAAAATAATATATAATAATTAATATTATATTATCAATTTAATGTTGTTTTACAATGTTTATTTTTATTTGCCCGAATTATTAATTATTTTTAAAGGAACAATTTCAATATTTTTGACAACGTAGATATTTATTAATTATTTTATTAATAATTAAAATTAATATGTTATAATTTTATTTAAACTACAATTTATTGTTTTTATATTATAAAATTTAACTATAAAATTTTACTTGACAGCAATTACGATAATGTGGTATTGTTTTCTTTTTAAAAACAATTTTCAAAACAGTTTTGGGAAAACAATGTTGTTTCAGATTATTTCCTAATCGACCTACCGTTATATTCAGTATTTGGGAAAGACTGAGAGTAGTCTTTTTGTGTTATTCAGTAGACAAAAATAGCTTTAATTTTATGTAGACAACGAACATTATGTATATTGTGAGAAAATTTTGAAACAGTTGGGCTGTATTTAAAAAAAATTCCCGAATTATTCAAATTTAAATGGTCTAAAAGTACTAAATAACGTGAACGTGTTAAAGTTTGCTTTAACTCCTTTTGTGTGTTATTAAAAAACTGACTCGTTTTAATTCTCAATACTATTCACAAATAACTATTTTGTGACGAGTTTCCTTCAAATGATAGTCGATATTGAACAACTTTGAATTGTCCGATTTATCTTTTGGTAATGGCACACTGCTTTATAAACTCTTGATTATCAAATTAAAAATATACTGTTTGATGTTAGAAAAATAAAGTCAAATAGCAATTGTTTTTTTTTAATTTTATTTAACTATATTTAAGGAGTAGTATGATTAATAACAAATTTTATTTGAATAAATTATATATATTTAATTATTAAACAACTTACAATATTTTATTATATTATTAACTATAGGTGTGTAAAATATGTTAAATAAGTTTTTTCTTTTATTTTGTAATTTACAGTCAAACCTCTTTTTGAATTTATAAGCCTTTGCCAAAATTTCACAAACCTTAATGTTCGGCAAATTTTGAGAAAGGTGAAAATTTGCCAAATTTAAATTTTCGTGAAAAAACTATATTTTATAGTTAAATTAATTTATATATATTGATTCCCTTATCTGTATAGAAAAATATATTTTAATTTACAGTTAGTTTCAAATTAATTTAAAAATGTTCAACAAATAAATATGATTGTACCAAATAAAATAAAAATATTATCAAAATAAATTTAAAGTGTTTCACAAAAAACAAAAATGTACCTTTTTTCAAATGTCTCATAATTAATTATTATTGTTTCAAATAAAATTCTTTTTGTACAAATTTAAATTAAAATTGTTTCAAAATTGACATTTTTTGTTTCAAATAAAATTAACAAAAACATGAAAATTATAACTTGAATAATTGGCAAATGTTATAACTTCTAAATATATTTAACAAAATAAATGAATACATAAACACATGTTTAAACTTTATAATCAATATGAGTGACTCTATCGAATATGTGCCTAAGTCTGAAATTGCATTGTTCAAACAACCTTTTATAGGACCTTTATGTAAACCTCCAAACACTCCCCCAAACGTTTCTCCGGTTACTGAAAGTACACTTTTAGAACAACAAATCAATTATCATCCTCAATTATCTTCTCGAATGGAAGAAGACACTAAAAAACACCGAAAAAGATGTTACAATACTCTCACGGATGAACAAATTTCATATCTTAGAGAGTTGTATGAAGAAAATGGATTGTCTCAATCCGTTGATTGGTATGTAAATAAAACCAAAATACCAACAGAAAGAGTGAAATTTTATATTAAAAAATTGAAAGATGGAAGCGATATAACAAAGAAGAAGAAAGGAAGAAAACCAAAATATACAGACGACATGTTGAAAGAGGTAATCTCGCTTCTTTGTCAACAAAATATGTCTTTGAGGCAAGCCAAAAAGGCCTTAGCAGAAAAAAATTACGATATTTCTGTATCTTCATTAGACAGGTACATAACCAATGAAAAATTGTTGAAAAATGTCAAACTAGATCCTCTGTCATTTACAAAAGTGTCAATACGAGGAAAAGTTGCCAACACATTAGAAAATAAAGAACTACGTGTCAACAGATTGTTAGAGTTGAAAAGTTGTCAAAAAGCCGGATTTGCTATAGTGTTTGTTGATGAATCTCATTGGAAATTGGGTAATGTAAGAACAAAACATTGGGGTTTAAAAGGGCAAAAACATTTTAGAATTTCTCCCCTGTCGACATTCAATATTAGTTGTATATGTTCGATTGCAGAAAGTGGAGACAAATTTTGCAGGGTGTTTAACCAAGTCGTTGATGGAGATATATTTTCTGCTGGATTTAAATTGCTTGTTGAACATTATATCTGTTTGCTTGGAAATGTCGTTTTTGTATTGGATAACGCTGCCGTACATCAAAAAGAAATCATCAAGCTTGCAGAAAATAGAGGCTGCAGAGTTCTTTTTAATGCTCCATATTCTCCAGAGTGTAATCCGATTGAAAACATATTTGGTATATGGAAAACTAGAGTTGCTAAACTCGAGAACAATGATTTAAAAGAACTGTTAAAAAATATTGGAGATTGTTTTGAAAGTATCGAAAAGTTTGATGTCAGAAAAGTTATTGGTAATTTTTTCAACGAAATAGCCGAAAAAGTGATGAAAAGAAACGATTTATAGCTAAATGTTTATTATTTTTGTTAATTTTATTTGAAACAAAAAATGTCAATTTTGAAACAATTTTAATTTAAATTTGTACAAAAAGAATTTTATTTGAAACAATAATAATTAATTATGAGACATTTGAAAAAAGGTACATTTTTGTTTTTTGTGAAACACTTTAAATTTATTTTGATAATATTTTTATTTTATTTGGTACAATCATATTTATTTGTTGAACATTTTTAAATTAATTTGAAACTAACTGTAACTTATAAAAAAAATTAAAAGTCTTTTTTATTTGTTTTCTTTTGAAATTGATAAAATATTATCATTTCTAAACTTGCCATTTAGCCGAATTTGGGGAACTCTGGTTGTAATATAAAAAATATGAAACTATTGTTAAAAAAACAGTTATATATAATGTTTAGCTTAAATGTAATTATCAGCAAAAAGCAATTTTATTAAACTTTTTATATGATAAACTTGATATGCTGATTTTTTTCTTCTTTTTTACCATATTAAGTGGTGTTTTTTGTGTGTTAAGTTGCTTTGGTATTTTTGATAATTATAATTATTATAATGTATGGTTATTTCTCTAATAGTGAAATAGTTTTCGAATGGTTAAAAACAATTAAAAGAAATAGTAAATGATATTGAGGTTTGTAATATTTGGCAAATTTCAGGTTTGTAATATTTTGGCAAAGACTTATTAGTGGGTCTACTTAAAAAACACTCATTATGGAGAAAATATTAAAATCATAATTAAAAGAACTTATTATACAGTTTATTTTACTAATAAAAATTTTGACTTTATATGGCTTGATTTGGCATTGTCAAATATTTGTTTTATAAACTAAAAAACGAACAATTAAATTGAGTATTTTTTTCAAATATAGATTCGTCTATTGAAAATAAATAATTATAACTATCAAATTCAATAAGAAAATTACGAATGGAACCAATTAGTGATGAAGTTCTCACTACAATAGTTTCAGAGTTGTATTCTATATACAAAAAGCCTCACATAGATTTAAAACTCTTGGACTCTGACGCACCTTTTTACTCAAGCAAAGTTGGTGGAATACCATACTACCCCATAGGAATGAAATACCCAACAATTCCAAGTGGAAAGTACATGTACCTTCTTGCTCAGATAAACTTCAGTGAAATGCCGAAATTGGAAAATTTCCCAACAACTGGCATTTTACAAATATTTATCTTTCCCGACGACTGTTATGGACTTTATGGTGCAAATGGAGAGTATGACCATACTTTACATAAAGTGATTTACCACGAAAACGTCGACTTGGATGAAAAACACCAACAAAAACTCCCAGAGGAAGTCGCAAAAAATTACAACGAAAAACATGAAATTTTATTGGGTGACGTTCCATTTAATTCGGTTTTTGCGATCAAAGGAAAGTTGAAAGAGGGGGCTAGTTTTAGGTGGTACAAAAATGAACAAATTATTGATAGAATGGCAATGAAATACAACGTTTCTAAAGATGAGTTATACGATGACATAATGGAGGATGACCGACTAAGACCACAATTGTGTTCATTAGGTGGATATCCAAACTTTGCACAAGTAGATCCAAGAAGTAATGATACGTATGACACTTTGTTACTTCAAATAGAGTCAATCAGAGTGTCAAAAAACAAGGAAATTATGTGGGGAGATTCTGGGGTTGGTAACTTTTTTATATCAACTGAAAATTTAAAGAAAAGAAACTTTGATGACGTGTTTTACAACTATGACTGCTGTTAAAGTTTTCAAGTAAGTTCAAGTTTTTTTTTTAATTTTAAAACTCAAATTACACAATTTTTATTAAACTTTTTAATTTAAAAATATAAAATAATTAGTTCAAAACAAGTTTGTAAAATCTAAAATTTAACAAGTTTTGTTTTTTGTGTGTTTTATTTCCATTACCCTTCATTGTTGTGAAATATAGGAAATATAATTGAAAAAAACAAATTATATATAATACAATTAATAAATTAAAATTATAGTATATAAATAATTAAGTAAATATTTGGTATGGTTCCTCAATTAAATCAATGTCGAACACGTTTACCTTGGGTTAGTGTGAACAAAGTGATATGGAGCATTGTAAAAAAGCTTAAATAGATGCACTTAAACAAACTGTTTATGCACTTGTTTTACCCACGTTTTATCTTTCCTAGGCGCGGATCCCCCGCTTGCGGGAAAATGACGTCTGCGTCTACCCAGAACAAAAAATTGGGTGATATAGGGCGTACAAACAGTAGCTGAAAATGGAATAATACTTGATTATTGTTTTGGTCGTGGTAAAATCAGTCGGTTTCAACACAAAATCATAAAGATATTATTATTTATATAATAATTATAATATTAATTTTAAAAACAAAAAACAATAAATTGTAAAAAAAGATAAATAGATCACGATGATGACAAAATTTGTTGACCGACGAGGGACTGCTTGTCGAATAGATAACCATTGATATTGATGGATCCTCATTATTTTTGCAAATGACAACAACATAAGACTAAAATTCAAAATGTTGTTTAACCATCGTCGGAACTTCACAATGATTTTGAATTGTGAAGGATTATGAAATAAATGAAAAATAATTACAGTCGTGTACTATAAAGAGAAAAACGAGGGTTTGTGTTTTATCGGAATATAAATATTGGCGACGGGAAAAGTGCTAATAATTTAGGTTAATTCCAAAAATTGCAATAAGTTAATCTTTTCGTTATCATTTTTGTTCAAATCTTAAGTATTATGTCTTTATTGTTATAATATTTTTAATAAATTATTCTGTATCAAAAAATTCACATATAAAATGAAATTGGTTTGCATTGATATTTTAAAGAAAAAACAAAATTAACATTTTCATGTTCTTTCAAAAAAATAAAAGGAAAAATAGTGAATGTGTGAATTAAACAAAAAGAAAAATGTATTAATTATGTATATAAAGAAATACTTTAAAAAGTGTCAAACCAGAACTAAAAAATAATAACACTAAAATTTACAAATATTACATTTATAATGTTTTCTTTATTTATTAATAATTTACATGTGTGTACAAGTGATATAAAAAATAAAATTTACCAATATTTTAGTATTATTTTGTTAAGTTGATAATAAAAGACATATTTAATAATTATTAAGATAATGTTTTATTGTTACATTATTGACTGATTTTTAAACGGATAATTTATATTTAGAAATTATAAAATAATTATTTTTTTTAAATAATAAATAATATGACAGATACCAAAACACATTTCAACTTATTTCATATAAATTCCTTTTAACGCGTTCACTCCGTTTTTCTATGACGTAATCAAGATGGTCCATCTCATTTAGAATATTCAAATGATATTGACGTTGAACGTCTTCATCTATTTTCACAAGTTTTAATGTAACTTGATCGAAGGAAGGCCGATCTTTTGGATCACTTCTCCAACATTCTTCAACCAAATTTTTGTATAATGCCGGAATATTCTGATCAAATGAAAGCCTCATTCCTTCTTCGACGTGTTTTTTGATTTCGAAAATAGACTTGAGTTGATCATATGGTTCGACTTGGTAAAACAGTTCCCAGGCTGTTATAGCAAATGAATAAACATCACCTGCAAAGGTGTATTCATCTTTGTAAGTTTCTGGAGCGGCATAGATTGGTGTTCCAAGTCCTTTGTCTTCTCTATTTTTAATCGATTTTTTTGTGAATCGTGATGTTCCAAAGTCTGTGATTTTAATAGAGCAAGCACTGTTTGGGTCAAGTGAATTGACCAACAAGTTGTCGGGTTTCAAGTCCAAGTGCATAATTCTGTTTTCATGAAGAAATTGCATTCCACGTGATGTGTCAAACAACATCCGCACTTTCAACTTGTATGGGATCTTGACATAGTCTTCTTTTTCTTGTCTCAGATATTCACCAAGTGAGCCTAGAATAAAGAATTGGATGACCATCGACACTTGTGGAATATAAGTGACCGACCCCATGTAACTTGCTATAAACGGATTCCTCAGTTTGGACATAATCTCACACTCGGCGACTACATTCTTCTTCAACTCAGCAACTTCGTCTTCATTTAAATTCTCCCAACGGAACTGCTTCACAGCTACAGGTACACTTCAGTAACTCCCCATATACACTCGTCCCATCGCTCCTTCTGCTATTGGCTTATCTGACATGTTTAACTCGTCCATATCAATATGTGTTGAACTTGCAGCATCCGTGGAAATTGTAAAATAGTGGTGGAACCGTTTTAAGACTGTTTTAGAAAGCTTTTCGAAATGTTTTTGTTGTTCATTTGTCCACTCATCAAAGTTTTTGTCTTTCAACAACATGGATAATTCGTTGAGAGTTCTTCGACTTTGAGAAAACCAAACAGTGTATGGGATCTTCATACCACGCAATTTAGTTGTACAGTATATCGTCATATAACATGTTATTGTTCTCGTCCCACTTCTTGGTCTTATTATCACAACTTGAGGATCAAAATGGAAATTGTATTTTGGACTATTTGGTGTGTGAAATATGATCATCATGTATTTGTTCTTACTCATGTTTCTTAAATCAATTCTCTGGAAACGCGTATCCATTATAGCAGTTGCTTCAGTGCCTTTTCCAAAGTCTAATGTTATGGGATCTATTAGGTATCGATTTTCAACTGAAGGTGTCTTATTTAGAGACCCAGTTATATAAAAATGGTATGTTGGTTGTTGTTGTTTAAATAATTCGATGTCTGTCTTTTTATATTGTATTACAAAGAACAACAGAATTGTTAAGGTTATTAAAAACGCAAGTCCAAACACACTGCTTAATACAACAATAACAGCTATAATTTCGGCTGAAATTCCTTTGGGAATACAACTGTTTTTACTTTCTGGATCCGTTACAAATCCTTCGATACATTTACAATTTTTTTGACAATTTGTTCCATTGTCACACTACATTTTAGTAAATTATTATCTTGTCAGTTAAGCATCAAAAACTACTAAACAAACTTCTTCTGTTCTTAAAAAATTTCCATCATAATCATAATAAGTATCTATCTTTCCATTACCACATAGATTTGACAAACAAATACCACTTGATGACATGTGAAACCCTCTTGAAGAATCACATTTGCATGTTGGAGTGCATCCTTCACTTTTGGCACTACACTCATCGTTAATTCCAATGCTCCCACTCGCACATTCTTCTGATAAACATCTATGATCAACAAAAACTGTTCCTTCTTCGCAATTACAATATTCATCACATTTTTCAGACCCAAAGTAACACAAATTATCATTTGGAGAGATCTGCCAGTTATTATCATAGTAACACAATTTGTGACAATTAGACCCTCCATAACCTTTTTTACACCGACACTTCCCTTCGCTTGGAGAACATGTACCAAGTCCATTTTCATAATTACAATTTTCAGGGCATATTACAGAGAACTTTACAACAAAATTACTTCGTTGATCCTCGGAAATAAAAGCAAAGTGTCTCTCGACATTTTCATTTGCGTCAATTGTAACAAACGCACCAGCCTTTGCGTCTTCACTTAATACTCCATGACGTCTTCCGCTCCACCCCTGGACACATTTCAAGTCGCTTTGTTGTTCAAATATCATATCATACTCCTGTAAATAGTTCATCTTTCCATCGACAGTTGCATCAATCAACAATTTCCCAGTTCCATTGAATTCAACATTGAACGCAATATACTTCATTCTATAAGTTGAGTAACAAATGGGTTGTGTTAACGTTCCATATTCTTCAAGGGGAACATCCCATGTAATAAACTCTCCGGGATGCTCTGTTAAATACTTAGTGTTGTTAAGTGTTAAATTAAACCTTGAAGAAACAGATCGACCATTTTGGACTTTGGCATTCAACTCAATTGTAACTTTTGAAAACTGCCCAAGATGAACAAATATATAAAAATAGAAGTCGTCCATATTTCTTTGGGGATCATCTTTGTATGGTGATACGACTGGAACATGCAATCTCTTTGAATTTGTATTTACGTTAGAAACCGTGTGTGCGTAACAATCACTATTTTGCTCTCTTGCAGAATTGGTGACGTCTATGGTCACCACAGTATTTTCAGAACCGATTTGTGAAATATCAAACCTGACGTGAGAAGAATTCTTGACGTTGTATAACAATTTGAACCACTTACCAAATCGATATTTATTCTTATAAAAACAAAAACCTGTGTCTATGTCACTTGACTCATCCAAGTCAAAAACAATTGGTTCATCAATTTGTATTTCAGTGATGAACTCTTCTGGGGGTAACCAAGAGTCTTTCAATATCAAAGAATCAAATTTGACGCATTTTGAATCGTTTTTCAAATAAATGGTCTTCATATTTAAGTTTCTATTGTACCATTCACAATTCATACAAGAGTTGTCATTGTCATATCCAACACTACACCTTCGACATGTATTATCTGTTAAACATCCTGTTGCACAACCTTCTGGGCAAAGTATGGTAGAAGAGTTTTGTGCATTGACTGCTACTAACAAAATTAACGGAAACATGTTGTTTACCTCTAATTTATCAGTTGATTTTCTATTTATATACCAATATTTTAAAAATAAATGAATTACTAAACACTATTGTAGAATAATGTAAGTTTATATTTAATGTATAATAATTAATACAACTGATTTCTATTTTTATATTGTTTACTGAACATTTTCGTAATGTCCAAAAACTTACTGTTTATTTTCAAGTAAAAATATTACTTATACTATCTCGTTTTAATAAATAATAATTATATTATTACACAAAATCAATATATTGTTTTGAACTCTTTGTTTTGTAATGCCAAATAAAAATCAATATTATTTGGGGTATAAACATTGTTAATTTTACCAGTCTCAACAGAATTATTTGTTTGAAAAACAAAGACTAATTTAAATTTGATATAACACGTTTTATAATTGAAAAATAAAGTCGTCGGTTATGTAATTTTTTAAAAAGATATCAAATTAAAAAAAGACACACAAAAACAATTAAGATTTGTACATTTCGAAGATAAAAAAGGCACTAAAAAAGACAGCTATTTTGAAAAAAAAACGGCTGTCTTTTTAAGTCAATATTTAATTTGGATCAAAGAACAAATGTATGGTTAGATCAGAGTCCGTAAAACAGTCTAAATTAAATATAATAATTCAATATCTAACAAGTATAGAATTGAAAATTAAATCTTATATAAATCTCTCAAAACCAACCCCCAAAAATTGATATGAATTTTGTTAACTCTCCAATTATTTTTAAATTATAAATTGACAATACAAGTAAAAAGATATTTTATTTTTTATTGAAAATTTATCGCTTTTTTAACATTTTAATTCGCCATTTCTTATTTGTTGTAAGTATGTTAATAAAAATAAAATAAAAATTTTAAAATAAAAAAACTATAATTATTGAAGTAAATTGATAATTTCATTATAAAATTATATTATATTATAGAGTCAGTCTAACAACGTTGTCTGTTCCCCAAACGTTGTCTTTTTGACAAAAAATAATTAAATTTTGTTTTTTTTAAAAAAAACGGGAATTAGGTAAAAATGAAAAAACTGGAAAAATATTGAAACAATGATTTTGGGGGTTTTCAAAAAAATCCCGAAATATTTTATTTATAATGGTCTAAAAAACGGCAGACAACGTTACAACCAGACAACGTTAAGCAAATGACTCTATTTAGTTTTTTTGGCAGTTTAAAGGAAAAATAATTTAATTGATGAACACGCTTAAATTAGTTTCAAAACAAAAAATCGAATTATAGATAGGTAGAAATACCATAACTGCTGTATTTGGGGAAAAAATATTTTTAAAAAGTGGTTAATGTTAAAGAGAAAGCACGTAAAAACACAGGAACTATTAAGATATTCATATTTAAATTAAAATAGTATTATGTGAAAATCTACTGTGTTTTTGTCGTTGTTGAGTTTGTGTCATTCAGTAAAAAACGAAAAAATAGAAACCAATATCAAGTTAATCATAACTGACAGAACAGAAGATACAACCTTTAAAATTTATTTCATTGCCATGTAACTTTGTCATTTAAAGTCTTTGAATGGGTTGTATTATATTTCGAAAACAATTTTTTTGTAAGATGAAAACATAGTTGATTGTGTCTGTTATATCTTGTGATAACAAACTGAAATACTTGACAATATGATTAATAATTCAATAATATATTTTTATCAACAAAAATACTCACGTGTCATTTAAGATGACATATATTGTTTAACATATAACTTCTCAAGCTGGAACGCACAAATATTTTAAATCGACAATAAGATGTCAAAATCAATTTTAATTTCAAAAATCGAGGCAATGGTGTCGTTTGCGCATAATATCGGTTTTGTTGTTCATTTTGTGTAATAACTCTATTTTTGTGACGCCGCTTTGATTAAGACAATCAGTAAAGTGATTTTGCATAAACACTAATTATTTTATTGAGATGAAGAGAACACATTCAAAAATAGGCTTCCAAAATAAAGTTTTCGATATGAAAAGTGTATTACTATACAACAATATATTACTTCCTATTTTCTGTAAAACATAATCAAACAGACGGGGAACTTTGAAAAGTGTTTGAAATGTGGTAAATAATTTTACTTTTAATGTAAATGATTATGAATACAATATACATTATTTTAACAACTGGAATTGGTAGGTATTTGTTATTTAACTTGTTTTTAAAATCAACAATTGGAATCCAAATTAAATTTTATTTGATAAAATAATTATTAAATTAAATATTTAATAAACAACAAACAACAATATTTATCGTTTTAAGATTACTGCCACAAACTCGTTATATGATCAAAAACTAATTTACAATCATTGAATCAATTTTAATCAATAATAATCAAAGAACTACCAATTTAAATATTATTTGCCTTAAAAATTTATTTTAAAGATATGATTTGTCACAAAGGTTAAAAAATAAAATAAATTGCTGTGATTAAATAATAATAATTTAATAATTTGATATATAAATTTTAAATTTTAAATTTTAAAAAACTTTTTCTAATATTAATTTATAATTTACTTATAATAAAAAACAGGTTGTTTGCTTGTTTATTACTTGTTTTTTATTGTTTTTATTTTATTAAAAAACTATAGACATTAAAAAGAGAAAACCTAATAATTTGTAAATATTTAATAATCCCGAAATATTACACGAATCAAAATAAAACAGAACACAATTTTTTACTCAATTAAGGGTATTAAAGTATAAAAAATAAAATAAGAGTCATTTTCATTTTGTTCCATAAATTGATTTAAACAACTTCAAATGTATCATTATTTATGAACCAATATGCGACAACCCATCCAATGCAGATGTCGTGTTATGCGAATGGTCAAGATGAATACGGCTTGAAAAAAATGTTTGAAACAAAACAACAAACTGATCAAACAGATGAAATCCATAAATGTGCTTATTGTGAAGAAACGAATGGGTTGGTGAGGTGCTCATGTGGGAAATACATTTGCAATGGTCCAGTGACAAATTGCAGTAAATGTCAAATACTTATTCACACATCTAATTGCAACCATTATGCATATTATATTGGAAACATAAAAATTGAATGTTATAAATGTAAAGAAAGTAACATTTTTGTTATTCGCTATCGACGTGAAGAATTGAAATTTTACTGCAAAGAATGTATCCCTCCAAACAAAGAATATTTATATAAAGAATGTGTCGCCAAACAAGGCGTTTTTAGTCTGAACAATTATAGTAATTTTGGTACTTCAATTCGCAGTATTTCTTTGGATAAAATTAACTCGATTGATCAAGTTGAACGTTTTTCAATATCAAATATAGTACACGTGAAACAAGTGTATAATGGGCAAACCGACTATATCAACACATATCAAACACTTTACAACTATGAGGAGGGTGTTCAATATTGGGAAGAATATACTTACAAAAAAATGGTCACTTTCAGAAAAGAAAAGGGGAAGACATATGTTACTATTAAACACGACAAAAAGGAAAAATACCCCCGAGTGGGATGTCAAGTCTATTTAGTTGAAAAGGGGAATAAAGCAATTTTGAACAAAGAAACTGAACAATATATTACCAATTGTGCAGACAAACTATTCAAGGATTGTTCTTTTGTTGTTAAAGGAACTGTTCACTGTTCAGACCAAAAGAAAACAGAGCTTGTGATGACAGAAACTGTGATCAGTGATAAACTCCCAATTGAAAAGCAAACAATACCACAGCGACTTTTTAATACTTTGACTGATTCCACACAACTATTTAGACTGTATGTATGGACTAACCAATCCAACGGAAACGTCATTACAAGAAGTTTCGACTTTTTAAGTAAATATGAACACTCTGATGACTATTATAATACTTTGTTTGGGTCTACCCCTCTTACACAACAGTTCTATTATAATAATAGTTATATTAATCCACCACATTTGAATTGCCCAGTTCATTTAAATCTAAGTCAAATCGCAGCAGTTTTAAGTGCGTTAAATAACAAAATTTCACTAGTCGTTGGACCTCCAGGTACTGGAAAGCATCAGTAGCAGTTTCAATTGTACAACACATGTTGTTGTATAAATATGAAATAGAAACACCTTCACAAAGATTCAAAAGAGGACACAAACACAAAAGATCACAGGTGGATTACAACTCTTTTGAAGATGAAGACAAGAAATTTTATGTCACTGCTTCGAGTAATAATGCGGTGAATGTTCTTACTGAGCGTCTTGTGGATTATAAAGTTAATGTTTTTCGAATTGCCGCAAATGATAAATATGAAGATCTGAGCGACAAAGTCAGAGAAGTATCTTTGATATACAAAGCGTATGAATATGCGAAGAATGTTCGTCTTGTTGACATAGAAAAAATTTTGAAGAAGAAAATCGACTCGTTTTTTACTGAAAAAGAGAGAATTAAAATTAATGATATGGAGCTTAATTACAATAAAGATCTGACATTAAAAATGCATTTCAAAACATTTGAAAAATACTTTAAAGTTACTGAAAAGGATCTTTTTCAAAGAAAACAACTTTCTTTAAATAAAACGGAGACTTCACAAATGAATGATTTCATGAAAAACAATTTAAAGAATATAACAATGAATTGTGATGTGATTGCAGCAACTTTGACTAAAAGTCTTTCTGGTGTTAAATTTTGGTGTGCTTTAATAGACGAAGCGGCACAATCGATTGAGCCCGAAACTTTCAGTGCTTTTGCCAAAGTTAATAAAATAGTGATGATAGGAGATATCCAACAACTTCCACCAACCATACTTTCAGATGAAGCAAAAGAAGGAGGTCTTGAAAAGTCGATGTTTGAAAGACTCTTGTTGAATAAAGTGCCATATGTATTATTAAATACACAATATCTAATGCACCCCGCTATTTCAAAGTTCTCAAATGAATTTTTTTACAGAGGAAAACTCAATGATGGGGTGACTGCAAACGAGAGAAGTGACAATCGAATCAACAAAATATTCTCAAAGAAAGAGTTTCCAGTGATGTTTGTGCATTGCAAAGGAGATGAAGGTTATGGCTCCAGTGGGAAAAGTTATGGCAATGACGCAGAAAAAGAAGTTGTCAAATTTTTAGTTGAAAAATATAACAAGGAAGGAATCAACGACGAAGAAATTGGAATTATATCCCCATACTCTACCCAAAGGGATTTACTTGGAGAACAACATAAAACAATTCAAGTAGCAAGTGTGGATGGATTCCAAGGAAACGAGAAAGAATTTATTATTATATCATGTGTCAGATCAAACTCTAAAGGAGGTATCGGATTTCTAGCCGATCATAGAAGACTTAATGTGGCTTTGACAAGAGCAAGGAAAGGGCTTGTAATGGTGGGAGACGCATACACTTTGCGTCATAATTGTATTTTTGTAAATTTCATGAAGATGGTGTACGATGAAAAAAATTTTATGAGTCTAAAAAGTCATTATTCGAAAAAACAAAAAGTGAACACATTGAAGTTACAAAACTATGTGATCGAAGAAATAAAAAACGCTCAAAAGACTCAAGTTCCAAATATGGTGTGTTATGAAAGTATTGAAAATATAAATACTATTCATCAAAAGACTAAACCCGTAAAAAATGAAAACTTAAACGAAACAGAGTCTGTTACGGAATTTGTAACAACAAACAGTGATTATTATAATCAGCTATATTATGATGACTGTATATGTAATACTACAGAATTGACACCTCTATACCAAAACGGTGTGAGACAAGTGCAAGGCACAAATAAACCATTATCTTCAGAACAACAAATTTATTTTGAAGATGATTATGACTATAGAATAACAGAAGAAAAAAGATTACATTTGATTGAATACGAAGAAAGACAACAAAAACAACAAAAAGAAGAAGAAGAAAAAAGATTACGTTTAATTGAATACGAAGAAAGACAACAACAAAATCTATATGGACAACAAGAATTAGTAAATCAAAGGATATATAAATTGGCAAACCAACAAGAAACCTTTCGAATCCAAAATCAATACCAACGAAACGAATTCAAAACGTCAAATTATAGTCAACCTGAAACAAAGGGTGTGTTTATGTCGCGTTTGAAAGTTTTGTGCATTGGTTTATTAGTGGTATTATTATTATTCATTCTGTTCTTTTGTTGTAAATAATTGAATTAATATTTTTAATTTGTTTTTCTACACAATTGGATTTTTAAATTACTTTTCTATTAAAACAAATAGTAAATTAAAAGTTAAAAATTAAATTTAAACACAAACATGCCTCAAAAAAAAATAAATTAATTATTAGACTTTTAAATTTTTAAGTAAAAATAAAAATATAAAAACAAGACTTTATACAATTCTAAAATTCAGTTGGTATTAGAATTTTAATCTAAAGTTTATATTTACTTAAGTTATTCTTTTTGTGTGATTCAATTACTGTGCTGAAATAAAAGTAAATTAATGAAACCCAAAACCACCACGGAAAGCATTTTGAGCAAATCCCGTTGGTGCTCCAAATTGATTTTGTTGTGGAACATTTGCGGCTTTGACTTGATTCAGTCGTAGTGTCAGCGCAGTCATTTCATCAAAAATTTCGACATCATCACATTTTATTTGTGTAACGATTTCTGGTTTCTTCGACATCACAAAACACCTTTTGCACATTTTCAAAACGACGTGTTCTGTCTCATTCCCAACAGTAATAACAAGATTTTTGCAGTTTTCAAAAGTTGCCGATTTAGACATTATAGCCATTTGGTAAGGTATATTATCAATGTTTTTCATCACCAAATTGTTCACACATCTTTTCTCAAATAATGAAGGAAATTCGGTTGAGTCAAAACACAAATCACTGACATTTTCATACAACCCAGAGTTGTTATACGTTTGAATTTGAGATCGTTCGAAATTGAGTCGGTTGAAATTTCCCAGCCCACACGAAAAAATGATACGCCCATTTGACTCGACAATGTCAACTTCTTTTGTTTTACTCATCAATCCAATACTAAAGTTGGTACACTGGTGAATTTTTAGTTCAACCACGTTGAGCATGAGGTTATTTTTCATAAATTCAAAAGGTGCGACAAAATTGCAGTTTTTCATTTCTACTCTTCCAAATGCACTTGTAGAGAAATTTGGGAACTCCCCAATGAAATTTTCAATTTTCAAATTTGGAATGAAATCAACGTGTTGTTCAATACTGAGTGCTGTGCACACACAATTTTTGATTATAAAATTGTGACTGTTAATTGTAACACTTTCAGTTGTAACATTTGGAGGAAGTGTTGGATTAACACTACAATAACTTTGTTGTGCATCAACAACTTCGTTAAATATATTTCTTCGTTCGGGTTGTCCTATAAATCCAAAACTATTTCTGTTATTTCCAAAACCCATTTGGAACAAATTAAAATTGTTTTGATTTGGGGGAACTGTTGTTTTTGGGAATCCCAGTGAAGACGTTTTAAAAACGGGTGTGTCGTCTTTTGTCAAACACTTTTGCTTTACTTCTTCATATTTTTCTAAAGTGCTAAATTCACAAGTCTCACTTTCATTTAATTTTGAAAGACAAATTATGTGTTTTGATAAATTGAAATCCGATGGGAAAGTGTATGTTGAATCATAATGTTCTACTTTTTGAAGGGAGTTAAAATTTCCTTTAAAATCAATTGCTTTCGATGAAAAAATTCCCAGCTGTTCTATTTTTGAATCACCAAAAATAAAATCGCAGTCACGGCAATACTCGATTTTAACAATTTCACATTTATCAAATGTGTTTGAAAATATAAAATTCTCGATATTGAACAACAACACACTTTTTGTATGGGTAAAATCGATATCTACATATTCCAACAAGGCTTCAAATACAACTTCTTCTGCTTCGACACCAACTTTCTTTTTGAGCGTCGAATTTGAAATCACCAACTTCCCAATTTTAGTGTTTTTCGCTATTTCAAAATTTGTTGAATCGTAGACAGACAAAGACTTAATGAAATCTGTTTCCAATGAGATTTTTGAATTTAAAGAATTTATTATTTTGACACTTAAATTTGTATTTTTGGTATTCAAGAAATTGAATGTAAAATTTGGACACATGTTGAATTCAAAAGTTTCACAACTTTCGCAGTCGATGTTTAAAATGCAGTTAGAACAGTTTGTACAAGTAATATTTTTTGCACAGTCTTTATTAATAAACAACTCAACATTTCTTACATTAAAAAGTGAAAGTTTTTGTAACGTTTTAAATTGTTCATAACAAACATCACTAAAATTGACCAATTTCAACTCTTCGACATTGGCAAATGGAAATTGTTGCTTGTTCTCCCAAATACGTTTTTTATTACACTTTTCGAGTAGTTCCATTCGTTTATTTTTAACTATTTTGGCGTTTGTTATTTCAACCTTTTTAACAGTGTTAAAACCCTCCGAAAATTGGAAATTAACACCTTCTGTTACAAACTCTTCAACGTTCAAAACATCAGGAAGCATCACAAAGTTGGTTTGTTTATGTTCGACTCCAAATGAGTTTGGTGTAAATCCATTTTTTAGTGAAATTGATTTGACGAATTTTGGTATTTGCAAAAGACTCAAATCACAAACGCCACCCATAAAAGTAACTTTTGTTGCAACACTTTTTCCAATGATTTTTTCAACTTTATGTAAATCAGAAATTTGCGTCAAATTTTTTGTTTGAAATGTCAACGAATTGTCTCTGATGAATGGTGTTAAGTAATCTGCATATTCTATATTAACATTGTTTGAATAATTTCGACAATTTTGTGTCACAGTAATTTTATCCATTGATGACACACTATTTGTCCAATCAATATCAATTTGTGTTGCATATTTCAACGGAAGTTCGTTAATTTTATTAAACGGGATATTAATGGGTCCATTTGTTGTTGTTCCAAATGCATTTGACCCGAAAGAATTTGACCCAAAATTCATATCAAAATTGACATAAACGTTTTTAGGGAAAATCTTTTTAAAGTTGTCACGAGTTTCATACTGTTCAAAGAAGTCGATAAAATATATGAAATAGTTGATTGACATAGTTATCTTTTGGCGAAAAGTTTCTATAATCATTTGAAACAGTTTTTGTGGGGTGTTGTTTTTATTCACAAATGTGCGCATAATATTCAAACTTGTCATTTTTTCACAAATTTCTGGTGTTATTTTTTCGATCATTTCAGGAGGGCCTTCTATAATGTAATTTCTGATATAAATTGGTTTTAAAAGATAATCAAAAGATATTGGTAAGAAGTTGCAGTTCAACGTGTCGGGGTGGAATAAATCGTAAAACCTTTCAATGTCTTGTGTTAGAGTAAACCACGGGTTCACCTTAAGAGAAGTCACTGCGGAATTGGCGCAATGGTTCACTTGAATAAAGGTAAATACATCTGACAGTGTTGGGAGATATAGAGATACTTGCATTAAATATATCATTTCAAGGCGCGACATCTGTATTTTTATTTGAAATTTACGAGTAACAAGTTTTTAATTTTTTAAACAATGAGGTTTTGGGTTATTTAATAAATAGAACAATTTCAAAATCAAATCAAACAAAAACTTTAATTGGTAAATTGATATTTTTATTATAAAAATTGTTGTCGTCATGTATTGAACCAATTCAGGCTATCCCAAAATAATCTATTAAGCTGAAAAATATAGAATTTAATATGTTTGAAATGAGGTTTTTGTTTTTTGAGGCTAATAAGCGGGATAATTCTGATATTTTTTAAAGGGTAAATTCCGATTTTCCATTTTGTGGGTTGTTCAAAGTCGATTAAAAGATAATGTTATTGAAAATAAACTCAAAATGGTAAATAACATTGATTTCTTATCAAGGTGACCTATGAGATTATTATGATCCAAAATATCTTAACACTTAAATGTCAAAAAAAACATATTTTTGTCCACCTTTTTATTTTTTTTGTTATAGAACTTAAAATAATTTTTTAATTTACAATTGAACTAGTAATTATCAGAGACCAAATTATTGTCATGTTATTGAAGAAAAAATTATAAAAACAAAAAAATGGTAAATACATTGATTTTTTTATTAATTAATTATATCAGACAAAACACAATTATTCTTTATCAAAAATGAATAAAAGAAGAAATAAAATGATATTAAAATTTAAAGTAATTTAACTGGGATGCGGGTAGTGCTTCGCAGTTTGTGAATCACGTTTTTTTCTATTTTTTTCAAACTAAAAAAATATTCAAGAATTTAATAATTTTTAATAGCTTTATCACCACTTTTGGGGACCTACATTGACCACCCTCACCACCTTTACCAAAAAAAATATTTGCCGCGAGTGTTTTTTGAAGGGAGTCCACTTTTCAGCCACTGTTTGTGCGTCCCCATGTCACCCACTTTCCTTGTCCGTACTGTGTGGACGCGGATGTGGTTCCCCCCCCCCCCCGCAAGCGGGGGGGGGTCAGGGGGGGATCTGCGCCAAGGGAGGACTTGGAAAGTGGGTGAAACGGTGCACAAACAGACTGTTTGAGTGTGTCTTCAGAGCCTTCTTTTCAATGCTCCGTCTTTCTCGGTTTCCACTAAATCAAGGTGAATTTTCGGCATTTTTTGAATTCGGGAACCAGACCTAATATTATCCCAGTTTCCTATTTACTATAATTTTAATTTGAATATGATTCGAAATAGAAAAAATAAATCTATTTTAAGAGGTGGTGGTGGTCAATGTAGGTCCCCCACTTTTGGGATTAATTTATTCAAACACAATTATTAAAAAACAAAATCATATACTGTAAAACTAAATCAAGTTCAAACAAAAATAAATAAAAGAACCAAAACTTCGAATTTTTTTTTGTTTTTGTCAAAAATCCAAATTATGATCAAAAATGCATTTTTTGTCAAATTTTGTATAAAATGGTTATTAAAGTAAATTGTGAAAAAAAACAAATAGTATTAATCCAAAATAAATAATGTTTTCAATTATTTACACAACAAAGTTATTAACACATTAAAACGTTTAAATAAATTATTAACGAACATACATAATTGTTAATAAACATGTAATAGTTAAATAAAATTTCAAGTTTAATGATGACTTTTAATGAGATTGTTATTCTTAAATACTGATTGTAACTTATGTGTTATTAATGTGACATTTTGTTAAAACGAAGAAAAATCAAATATTATTTATTGTTACTTATTTTATTATCCAACTACGTTAATGTTCATAATGATAATTTTGAAACTTATTGTTGATAATTACATGTTAATAAGATATTATAAACAATTAAAACTGTTTTATTTTTTTTAATATCACAACATACAACGGTAAACACGTGTATTTTGACAACATCACAACATTTATGATTGATTGAAATAAAAAGGTGTATTTATTATTTTTT